CAGCCGAGCGGGTCCCGCTTTCTCTTGAAGTTTTGCCCTGTAGTTGCACTTAAAGGTGCAGGGGGGTGAGGGGCGCCTGGGGTCTAACCGGTGCTTCAGACAAGGGCTCCAGGAAAGGCTGCTGTAGGGCTGGAGCCTTTGTTTAAATTGACGGGCAGGCTGTGCTGTGAGAGGGCCGGGGCAGCACAGCCCCTGCCTGGTGGGGATCGCCGCAGGCAACTTCGTGTAGGTGGTGGGTTTTGTAGAGAGAAGCTGTTTTAACATTGTTTCTGCCCAGTGAATCTCATGTTAAAAAGTTGCCTTTTTACTCAGGCGTGTTTTCTCTTGAAATGATATTTTTTTAATTAATCCATTCAGGATTTTTTGTAGCAGTACTTTGAACAGGGTATATCTAGTGGTAAGTGAACAGCACGCTGTGGGACGGGAGTTCTTGGTAACCTCTGTGGCGGGTACGTAAGAAGGAATCGCTGCTCTTACTTGTTTTTCAGATTTTACTGAGATGATGAGGGCACTGGGGTATCCCCGACTCATATCTATGCAGAATTTCCATACCCCAAACTTCATGCTTGTTTCAGAAGTGCTGCTGTGGCTAGTGAAAAGGTTGGTGATTGGGCTAACAAATGTTGGGGCTGAGGCTGGGATGGCCTGGGTACGCTTGGAGCTGGTGTTTTGGTCTGAAACGGTATTAAGAAGTTTAAAGAGGAACATAATGATATTTAGTTATTCTTTGAGATGTAGTCTTCTAAATGTCAGATAGAAAACGTGGTAGTTAAATTTTCAGGTTTTTAGTTTGATTATACAAAAAACCCCCAGTGTTTTAGTAGCTGAAGTAGAAAATACAGTGACTCAGTCCTGGCAGGGAATGCATCCTGAAGGTGCGCATACTTATTAAAAAGTAGCCATATCTCCTTCACGTATTTTACAAACTCCGTTACCATTCTGCCTATATCTGACCTTGTAGCCCAAACAGGGTGATGTATAGTGAGAACTTATCTTGATAAAGTTAGTTCTTGCCTCATTGCTATAATTGTTATTGGTTCAACCTGGTACTGTCTGGCATCCATGCCATGTTTGAAAAAAATGAAATGTTACAGTACTAATCTACTACTATCCAGTTGTGGTTTTACATCTACTTAACCCATTGACAGACTTTGGTTAAATATTTATGAAACTTGAGGTGCTGATCAAATTATTCATAATCTTCTTTCTCCTATGTAAATGAAAAAATAAATTAAGTTTTTTAAGCTACTCATAAGGTAGAATATTACAGTTGAAAATATGACAGTGACCCATTTGCCTGATTGCTATTTTTTGGCCAGGATTCATAATTAGTATCCATTACGTTTAATTACCAAGCTGTTAGAAATTTGCTGAATACTGTTGCAATTATAATAAAACAGGGAAATACTTACAACCATTCAAAATTACTTGGATTAAGTTACCTAAATGTTCTTTAAAATACTGCTGTTACACTGGGGGTCTAAGTTACTGGCAGTTCTCAACTCGTATAAAAACATGAATCTGTGTCCCCTCCTAGTATGTGACAGTAAAAAACCAGAGCAATTGAAAGAAAACAAAAATATTGTTTTAAAAACCTGTTTCTCTAATGAACCTGAACACTTTTAAAAGCTTAAACTTCTGTGTTATAAGACTACTGGGAAACCTATGCCTAACAGTGAAGTGCTTTACTTTCTAACCAAATAGCAACTGGACACTGGCATCCTTTTCTGTAAGGGTCAGAGTTACACTTGACACAGGCAGACACCTTTTCCAGCTTCTAGGAGCCTTTTAATTACACTTTAAAGCAAACAGGCTACTTTGCACGTGCCTTGCTTATAATTTCAAATGTGGTTTGAAAGCGAAGATGCTTTTTTGCCTGTTTGAATGCTGAAAATCTCAAAGCCTTTTATGAGCCTGGGAATTTACTTTTTTTCTTCCCTGGTTCCTGTAGGTTGGTGATTCTAGAAGTTTCTGCATTTCACTAGTGGTTTTTTTAAAGCATTTTGCAATCTTGCAATTTGCTTTTTCATTAGTTTTGTTTACTTTTGGGAGTAATATCTTTGAAATGGTGTCTGAGTGTGAACTTTTCTTGTGTAATTTGAGAGCGTGGAAAAGCGTCGAAACATTTTAAAGGACAAGGTGGCTGGTTTTGTTATAAACAACAATAGTAATCTAGTACAAATCATTTTAACATACCACCGGAAAGACTGGGAATATTAACTCAATTGTATGCCCGGTATTTTAAATTGTGAAGCCACACAAGATTAAGTTTAGTTTGATTTATATAAGCAGCTTGTGATGGTAAATTACTTCTGAAAATAAGGATTTCACAGACTTAATTGAGCCAGCTAAATTCTGCTCCTTTGCAAAACTGACTGAAAGGATGTATTCAGGACCCCACAGTAACAATTCCTTCCGGACAAGTGTCTCAGGTTTTACAGTTTTTGCAGTTTGTACACAAACTCACTGTATGTGTTCCAGGGTCTGGATACCCCAGTCTGCAGTAGGAGCTAAAGATTTATTTTCCAGTCTGGTACATGCTTGTTTTGTTTGAGGTTTGCCTCACAGATGAACTAGTTTCTTTACTTTTGCACATGTGTTTCTTGTCAGAATCTACGTATGCTTCCTTCCACAGATATGAACCTCAGACTGATATTCCTCCTGATGTGGAGACAGAACAGGACCGGGTTTTCTTCATTAAGGCAGTGGCTCAGTTTATGGTAAGTCTGCCTAAGAACTCATGCTTAAGCACATTGAAATACTGGTTCCATATTAATTTTAATGCTTTCTCTCTTAACCCCTTACAATTTCCCTGCAATGGGTGGCTGAGTATGTAGTGTATTCTTGTGCTGTATTGTATATCTTGTGCTGTTACTGAAATCACGAAGAGTTATGTACATCTCTTTGCAGAATTGGGATCTAAACATCTAACGCTGAAACAATATTCATCCTTGTCACTTTGTATTTATAAAAAGGTAATAGTGGAAGATACAGCTGTAGATACGAAATTTTTTGAAGCCATTTAAATGGGTTCAGAGGAGATCCCGTCGTATTTACTGCTAGCTTTGTATGCCTGATTCTTTCGTATGCTTGACTAGTCGTAACTTCTGATGTTTTCATTATGATACAGTCTCATATATTGGTATTCTGTTGTATGAGCCTTCTCGCTAGATTGAGCCAGATCAAATCTTTTATCACATTCTGCATGAGCATACTTGAATTGGGCCATCAACTTTTTTACTCTCATGGAATAAAATAACGTTGTACTTCCTATCATTCTTGTTATTTTGATGCAGCATGAGCCTTTGCTGTTTTAACACACTTACATAGAGCCCTTAATCAGGTGGAAAAAACTTAATGGGGCTGTGAGTGGGTCTGGAAGCAATGGAAGTCTTTATGCTAATACCAAAGATTAATTTCTTATAATACTTCTTTAAATTTTTAAAATATATTAAAATGACTTTATAACCAAGCCAGCTTTTCCCTTCTGATTTGTGATGATGTCCACTATAAATTTTCTTAATTCTTAATTTTACTGTGTTCAGAGCATGATACACGTCTGTACATACCAGAATGCACTTTTGAGCCCTGAAGCATCATAAGATGTAGTGAACAGATCTAAATTGTTTGGAGAGATTTTTCCTTCTCCAAATCAGGCATGTTTTAAAAGGACAAATATGGAAGCAGAAATAATGTTATCCATACATTTTCCTTTTAACAGCTGATTTCATGGAAGAAGTCCCAAAAGTTTTGAAGAATTACGTAATATAATTCAGAAAATGAAATGAATGGAAATTTCTTTAATCATCCTGTACTTAGTCTCAGTTAGTACTACAAGACAATATGGTGATTATTGTAGGTTTTCAGCCTTTTTGGAATGAGAAAAGCTTGTAGGCGTTTCCTTAATAATTCACTGTCCATGGAATCCACAGTTATCTTCTCCAGTAGCTAATAGCTTTATGCATCCAGAGCCAGATGTGAGATTTGATGGAGACAGATTTGTCTCAGAAGAGAATATCAGGATAGATTAATCATCATGAACTATAACTGGAGTATCGCTCTTTTTTACTGAGCAAGGAGTAAAGATGTGTTAATTTTCTTACACAGATTATGTATTGCTCTGTGTTACTGGTAGTTTGAGAACTTACTAAATGTCTCCTTTTCGGGCCAAAAGTTCCTGAAGTGTCTGCAGGGTTGTGTTATGTGGGTTTTTTTAATCATTTACCCACCTAGAACTGCCTTAGTCTATGTGGCTCAATACCTGGCTCCTACTCGAGCCCCCGTGGATCCAAATTTGAGGAAGAGTGCCCCAAAAAGCCTCTGATGAGTTTAGTTTCATAGAATTGCATTCATTAAAACATACTTAGGAAATCAAGGTACCAAACTTTGTGCGAAATGCAGACATATTTGGTTTTTAAGAAGTGATGGGAGAAGCAGTTGATGTGATGTCTGCTAATAATCTTCCTGAGTGCTTTCCGGGAAGTACCGTGTGTTCAATTCCCATTTCAGCCTGTGGACATGTAGAGCCACTACTTCAGTACCCAGGAGACTATTCTGAGTATTAAACAAGATGGGGAGATGAGAGCAATCCTCATTCTTCCTGTCGAGAATGTGCCGTTGTACAGGAAAGAATGCAAAATGTTTGGGCTAGACAGGCTAAAGACCATGACTCTGCAACCGGATGGCTGGAGCGCTCAGCTGGCAGTTCTGGTTCTTCCCTGGGCTGTTTTTGCATTTCCATCACACTGTCAAAATTTGGCTTTATGATAATAATAAAGCATATTTAAAGTAAAGCAAACTTTCTGGCTGTTGATGCCATTCTTGTAGTATATTTTTATTTTTCTATTCTATTGCATTGTAATAATCTGATCTTCAGAATAGAAGGAGGTGATTTTTAAAGAAACTTTAAAACTATTTAGAGTTGTTATAAAATGGGTGACTGTCTCAAGTTTTCCAGACGTGAAGTTACCTTCTTGAGTAAGCAGTGCCATTATACCAATCTGAAAAATATGTGTACTTGTCTGTGTGTTTTTTTCCTCTTTTTAAGTAGTCTTTGAGTGAAAAAACATTTTTTTTTTCCCTTTACTAGACATTGATTTTTTTTTTCTCTCTTGGGGTTGCATGGAACTGAAATTGGAATTCCTGTCTTTAACAACATCCTTTATGATGTGGTGTGTTAGTTGTCTTTGTGTAGGGGATGTTTAACAGATTCTGTCAATTTAATGACCTGCTTCTCTTAAAATTTAATACCTATTGTTTCCACTATTAGTTTTTTAGAGTCTTTCTACTGAAAGGGAAGGAAGGAGAACGTACCTGGCTTTCTACTTTGTGTATTGGCTCATTTGAGGTCGCGCTGGTCAAAAATTTCAAAAGCAATTAGGATTTTTTTTTGTACCATAAGTCTCTTAATTCCCCCAGCTCAGGGTGTACAACATCAGTAACCTGTTCTGGAAGTTTTGACTTGACTTTCAGGTGAGTTCCTGCTGGCAGGAAGCAGATGTAGAGTCAGTTTCCTTTGCTGGGTTGAGATTTTGGAAGGAGGGAGGCAAGAGGTAAACATTTATTGGAAATGGAAATCTGATTGTAAAGTCACCGAGTTTGACAAGTTGCATATGAAGAAACATGGGCCAACAACTCTTTGCTTTGTTCCCTTTGTTCTTTGAAAAGTTGGAGCTAAATCCATGGCTTGAGATGCAGTACTTTCTCTCTTCAGTTTCACAGGAAATTTTCCTGCAGTCAGTTATTCAGTGAAGTTCAGTGCAGAGTGGGCAAAACTTGTTTTTGTCTTTTGTTGTTTGAGTCTTTTACCCCAGATTGAAGGTCTTGCACTATCAGAGCCCAACGGGGAGTGTGATTTGCTTGCAGTTACACTGTGATACCAAAGTTGTGTAGTACGACAAGTGAATCGTGGATAGATTCTTTCTGCCACACAGTGTTCCCAAAGGATAAATATTTTAGCAGAAGTTTCATCTTAAAAAGATATTGCAAGGAAGATGTTAAGTCATTTGGATGCTTAGTTTTTGTGTTCATAACCAGTGATCAGTTTTTGTTTGCTTGCTTGTTTAGTCGTGCAATCAGGAAGATTGCCTCAAAGTTTTACCTGAAGGTTGGTGTTGGCTTCTTGTGGCTATTCATTTCTAATATAATCTTGTCAGGAATTTCAGGAATAACATTCGTGTCCTTTCTGTTACAGATGTATCATTTCTATTATGCCTTTCTTTCCCCTTTATTATTTTGAAGTATAAAAAGATAGTATTATCATTTTAAATGATTTTTTTCCTTACTGGTCTGTCTGTACTTTTCAGAGATGGAGGACAAGGGAATAAAATCCCTAATATCACAGCAGGGAGAAGTTTGAGAGAATCAATAAAATATTCTGAATGTACTGCTGGAAGAGAAGACAGTTAAATTAGGATAATTGATCTTATTCTTGTAACTCATTAAGGGTGAAATTTACCTCTCTGCAGCATCATCACAAGACCTGGGCAGCACTTACGTTCCACTTAAATTCAAATTAAGTTTAAGTGGTGCACAGGGTTTTTGCTGATCTTCATGCAGGGAAGAATTAATGGATAGTTTGAGTTTTTTCATTCCGGCAATTATCTGTAGATGTTCTGACATGCGGAAAATACACGTTTCAGAAAAACTTCTTTTGGAAACATCAGTAATGTGATGAGGCAAACTTGTGTTTTCAAACAGAAAGGTTTATTTCTGTAGAGCAGAGCATGGTGCCCCCAAAAAGAGCTTTCGAGTGAAGTGTGATGAGGTAAATGAAGATTTAGTTCTTTGTGACACGATGAATTCGTTCTTTCTTCCCAAAGGCTACCAAAGCTCACATAAAGCTCAACACTAAGAAGCTTTACCAGGCAGATGGCTATGCGGTGAAGGAACTGCTAAAGGTCACCTCTGTGCTTTATGGCGCTATGAATACCAAAGGAGTGGAACGTGCTGATGTGAGTGAGGAAGACAGCAGCAAGTTCAAGTTTGATCTTGGCTCAAAAGTAAGGAAAACTTGTACTCTTGCTTTGGGCAAGGGTTTTGTGTTAACTTATGAAAAACAAATCCATCTTCTATCAGAAACTTAAGTAGAGAATGTTCTCGCAAGGGAGTGGGTATGGTTTTAACTCGTGATTTGTGTAGTTAAGGTTATATGCTATGATTTGTTACAATCTCTGTGAATTCTCAACCAGAAACATAATGCAAGGCAACAGTGGCACAAAATTGGTTATCTTTGGTTTGGACTGCTCTTGAAATCATAGAAATATTGGAGTAGGCCAGAATAAAGACTATTTTCTATCTAATAACCTTGTTGCAACAGGAGGAGTTTGCAAAATACTGACTGAAAGTTGGTTTTCAGCATGTTTGCATTGAAGGAAAGGGAAAACTTCACGTTGCCCTAACAGACATCAAAACTGTTCAAGCCTTTAAAATAAGTGTCATCTCTAGATCTTAGAAAAACCCCAGCGCTTTGTTAAATAAAATGAATTCCTGCTACTGCTTTTTGTTAGTTTTAGCGCCTCTTCTGTATTCTAATATTTTTAGTCTTTGATTCTTTTATAGCTATATAAAAACATGTATAAAATCATAGAATTGTTGTGGTTGGAAAGGACCTTTAAGATCATCGAGTCCAACTGCAATAATACTACCATTCTTAAAAAATGGCAGAATCACAGGTGATTTTTCCTCTATGCAAGTCTGATGTGTCTCTCTGAAGAAAACACCTGGAGAGATAAGGAAAAAACACTTGTAGTTGATCAATATTCATTACCCACGTGATGTGCTAGTCACATACCTTTTGGTATATATACTTTTACTTTTGCGTTTGAAAAAGGTATTTCCCTTTGTCCCTGCCAGCACGTGAACCAACAACTGGTTGAGTCACAGCTTTGTGGAGTTTGTTTTTTTTGTTGTTGTTGTTGTCATCCTAAAGTGGCTGGGGTTTCACCCAGAAGCCTATGTCTAAATGGTGCCTCCTCTAGACCGTTTTAAAGCCAAGAGATAGGCTCACTCTGATTCCGGTGGACATCTTCAATACTGTAGTAGAGTTTTGGCCACTGTGCTGACCTCCTACGCAATTTTAACATCAAAATAGGAAAAATCTATTGTGGATTTTCTTCGTGATATTGGGGATTCTCTTTTTGCTATTCAGTGCTGTTGCTGTGATTCCAGATCGCTGACTTGAAGGCAGCTAGACAGCTTGCTTCCGAAATCACCTCCAAAGGCGCAAATCTGTATGACTTACTTGGCAAAGAAGTTGAATTAAGGGTAAGTACATGCTGGAGAGTGTATGAGAACTTGTGTTCACTGGGCCCTGCAAAAGAAAAAGATGGAAAAAGTATCAGTAGTTCTTCTTAATGGCTGCATCTAAAATGAATATTCTATGAGTTTGAAGGTGTGGGTCTGGAAGTTTGCATTTCCTTCCCACTCATATTCATACTTGGTTTACAGTAAGCCTGAGAGAACAGTTTGGCATTTTCTCTTTAGCAGGAATCTGAAATACTCTCTGTAGAACAGTTTGGAAATATTAACTTAGTATGTACGTTTTAGTGGTGGGGATAGATATATTCTAAAAGATAAATGATTAATGCCATTATTTTTCCAAGTGCAAGGCTCATTATTTCTGTTACAGTAATTGAAGGCCTCATAAGCCCGCAGGGTACATATTCTTCAGCTTAGTTGTAAAGTCACAAGCTGTTGCATGAAGTCACAGAAGTGTCCTGAAACACTGCCAGTAAGTCTTTCAAGTGTTTTCTTAAATGCCTTTATCTGCAAAGCTGGAGGTTTTTCATTTTCTGAAAATAGACATTAAAAGAAGGAAAACCTTGAATGTTCTAGTGCCGTTTTTGGTAATCTTCAGATTTGCAGTATCTGAGCTGTAGGAAGTGCATCCTGTAAGAGCTATAGACTGTATGCCTTGACGATTAATGCTCCCAGATCCTTGTTTGATGGAGTACAAGCGTTTCAAAGGGTAGGCGATATACAGGGAAGATTATCTGTGGAACAGTGCCTTTTCTGCTAGATATGTAAGTCAGCATGGCATGCAGCAGTGTGAAAGGTATTAGTATTTCACAAGGGAGAGAGCAGTGATAAGCCAGTTTAATTCAACATACATGATTGTCGCAAAACCGTTGATCAGTCACTTCTCATCTTGCACTCTTCACTTAATTTCTTGGCTTTGAAATAGTTTTCACATGAATGCTACCTAACATGTTAATATTTGCTTCAGAGCATTAAAACCTTTTTTCTGTGTACAGCATCCCTAAGCACTCCAGTAAAAAGTCAAGTATAGGTCAGTATAAGGCAACATTTTTAAAAAGTACTCAAGCATTGGTTTGAAATTCAGCATTGTTTAATCACTTTAAATCAAGGCTTTTAGGAGTCCAACTGACTTTAGAACTGGGCCCTGGAAAAAGGACTTGCACAAGTGCAGTGTGCTGAAAGCATGAAATGAAAAATCAAGAGATGAGTAAGTGCTTCAGTGCAGCCACTTCTTGTCGGGTCCATGAAGAAATCTTCAATGGAAGACTATTTAAAGGTGCGATTTCTAAAAGGACAGTATTTCTTATATACAGTAGGGAGCGCATGTTTCTTGTGGCATGACAACTGAGTGCACAAGATGAGGTTAACTAATCCTATATAGGTACACAGTTTATACTTTGCAAAAAGGTTTGACAGATTGAACTTGTTGTCTTGAAGAAATCATGTCTTAGGAAAGATGACCTGTGCTTCTGTCTCATTAGCTCTGAGTTTGTATTCTAAAAGCACAAGGTGACACTATGACAGCACAGTAAGAATCTCCAGAGAGAGCAGCAGCAGAGACTTTCATGCTCTGTCCATTATCATTTCTGACTGGTTCCAGCCTTCTTCAGTGATTTGTTAAACCTGAAGAACTGATTTTTGGCTTGTGTGCTAAATGCTAAGTTTGGTACATAAGCATGTGACAAGTTTGAAACTTGAACGTGTAGCAAAGCAAATTTGTTTCAGGTTAAAAGCCATGAGGTTGCAGTAACCAGTTGTTCAGTGAAATTTGTCAAGTTTTCCTTTCGGAATTGTAGGCACCCAACTCTGCCTTCCACTTTGAAGTATGAAATTTGCTCATCAGATGAGAGGCTTAGAGCCCACCTGCTGCTGTTAGGTCTGATAATGCCCACGGAAGTCAGTGGAGTTGCAGTTCATGCTAAGTAGCCAGTGTTGAGGGCAGTAAGGAATTGCCCTTCTTCATTTCACACATCTTCCCTGGATCCTTCACAGAGTTGGTGAGGTGCTCAGAAGATCACAGGGATGGTGTCTTCTGCCTGCCTTTCCCACCCCATTCCAGGTGGGCAGAAGTAGAAGTGCGGTTAATTCTGGCTTCATGTGGGAAGTTAGAGCTTTGTCCGTAGATGTCCAATTAGTTGCTGTTAATCTAAAGTTACTTTTATTATTTTTTTAATGTGAAGATTATTGATTTCCATTGCTTATTTTCTTTTGACATTGCGTGGCTCAGTAGCGCACACAATAAATTGCACTGACAGAGGGATTGCGCTATTAAAGGGTGGTAGGAGAGCAGTATGGGTTGTTTTATTATATTTTATGTCCTGAAACCTGTTGCACATACTAAAATGCATCGACAACTGTGATACTGTTTTAATGAATTTGAAAACATGGTAGTTTTATGTGCCCTGAATCTCTGATCTCTTTTTTTTTTCCCCAATCCATCCATTTCCAAATATTTAAATGAAGGATCTCCCTACCTAGGTGTAGACAGGCTGATGATATATCTTGTTTCTGTCCTAAGTGAAGACTGCTTCATTTTCCAGTAACTGTAAAAGAAATGCCAGTGTTTGACACCAATAGGTTGACTAGGTCTGTTCTCTGAGCAGTTTTGGGGGAAAGATCATTGGGAAAAAGTGAAGTAAAATTCATTATTTCTTTTAGAACTGTTGACTCTAATTTGTGTCACAACCTTTTTTTATTGGAGTTCTTTTTGCACATAATTTGTATAGAAATTGTATAGAAAAGCCTTATGCGTTAGATAAATTTTATTGCTCCAAGCCATGGAACACTTTTTTTAATAAATTACTTTCTGAATGAAAACAAATTTCAGCTAGAGAAGAGTTTATTAAGGGAATGGTTATATTAGATATATTGTAGATACATAGTGGTGTAAATGTTTGTATGTATTTATCGGGAAGGGTTTAAGTCTGTATTTGTTTTCTTGGAAATGTGGTACTGTGCCTTTCTGATGCCTTTGCAAATACATTATTTCCTGACTGATTACATAGTTCTTATGTATATGTAAACTGCTTTCAAAGTTAATCTATAATGTAAAAAATATCTTTAATTAAAGACCAGAGGAAAAAATAAAACCTACAGGTATTAATTTGCTGAATTCAGACTATGATGCTGTTAGTTAAGATTTTTGGAAAAAAAAGAAATACCAAAAGCTGTACTTTTCTCATCAGGTGAAAAATCACAAATGTCATTTTTTTGGTTTTAAAAAGAGATCAGATTTTATATTTGAAAAAGAAGAGAAAGGCATTTTCTGATTAACGATCCTAAAGCAGCAGAAAGCTTAAATGTAAAGAGAAGCCATTTGGTTCCAGCCCTGCAGATAAGGAAAGAGATTTCCTTTCCTGCTCTCAGCGGATCCCAACTCGTGCAGCGGGTTGGGGAGCACCGGGTGTGGAGGGGAAGAAGTACAGGCGATGCACGCGTGTTACTACGGCCATGTCACCTGCACTGTCAGGTAACTGTTAAACGGGAGCTTGGCCCAGTTAACTCTGGGAAGCAATTCAACGCTGAGGGGGAAAAGGGTGAAAAGCTTTACTTGATCAGAGGACTTTTGGAGTTAAACGTTGAATTCTATTGAAGCTGTGTTATTTCTAGACCAACTGTGGATGAGCACAGTATAGGTTATTGGTGTCCTGTGCAAGTGCAGTGGTGCAGACACAGAATTTTTATTTTAAAACACATTTAAGCCTTACATTTGCAAGATAGTTTGCGGTTTCCAGTCTTACTGGTCCAAGTCTTAGAGCGTAGAAATTGCAAAGATGGAATTCGTAGAGTGTAGTGGAGTTGATGAATGAATTTTGGTACAACACAGCGAGATACCTAGACGAAAAGCAAATTCTATGCATGGAGACTTATGTGTTCGTCTTCGTTGTTTCCTTTACTGCCAGGGAGACTTTCGCTGCATTGCATTACTATGTAGCCTTAATTTTCAGAATATTTACAACTAGTTTTGGAAGAGTAACTAGAGACTTTGAGCTCTGGCTTTCTTTAACCTGTTTTCTAGCTTTTTTTTTTTTTTGGATGGGGAAGTTGGAGGTTGGATTTGGATTTGAGGTGGATGGGAGATTTTGTCTGGATTTCTTTCTTTCTCCTTGTACACTGTACTAAATGCTTAGGATGATTAAAAGAAGTAGAAGTTGAAAATACCACTGCTCTGAGTAAGTCAGTCAGGCCCAAAATCAAGAAAAGCAGCAACAGAATTAATGTCAGTAGTCGGGCAAAATGCAGCACCAAGTCACTACGTGTTCACTTTGGGTTTCACGTGTGGTGGCTGCCTCCGGAGCTGCACAGCCAACTGCTGCAGCCTTGTAAATGGCCGAAGGGTGTTAGAAAAATCAGTGCTCCTCTATACCCTGGAACAGCTGGTGATCGGTGGTTCATGGGGAAACTGGCAAGGTGAATCTTTGGGGGGAGGGAGGGGTGTTTGAGGTGATCCAAAATAATTCTTTAGCACAAAATAAAGCAGTAATGACTTTCAAGGTCAGTTGTGATCAGTTGAGGAAGAACGCTCCTGAGTTATCATACATTGAACATCCGAAATCCAAAAGGAAAAATTCAGGGGTATTTATAACACTGCAGCAAAGCTGACTGAGTGCCTGCCACTTCGCATCTGCCAGAGGTCCTGTGGGCACATTAGCAGGAGCCTGTCAAGAAGCTGCCTTGCTTAGATTTGCTGAATTATTAGATACAATAAGATAACAAAGCAAAAAAATTCCAGAATAAAACTGCCTCTGTGCTGGTGGCAGGCATAAAGATTTCTGACTTTCTCAAGGTTGTTTTCATTTTATTTACCTCTTAATTATCTCTAAGCCCTGTAAAACTGAAGAAAGATAAAAATAATCCTTTTTTTTTTTTTTAATGTACTTAGCTTGTGCTGAAGAGGGGCAACGCAGTGGGTGTGTTTTCTTGGCACTTAGTCTGTGACCTTAAACAAACTGTTTATTCCCTGTGTACTCTCTTGTGTAAATAAAGTAATTTCTGTAATTGTATAG